TCAAGAACCATCGCGGTACACCGAGACCCAACTGGCTGATGTCTGATATCATGTCCGACAAATCCTTGTATGTGAACTGCATCCCCTTCTTCCAATGTTTCCAGTTTTCCCGTTTCAGAAATTCGACCGTGATCAAACGGATAACTGGAGAAAGATGTATTCGCTGTCGTTTTCAGCACTAGTTGTCCAGGCAGTCCCGGGTCGGTATGACCACTGTACTTAGACGGCGAGTCGTCTCCGTATCCCAATTCAAAAGATTTTCCAGGCCGAGCGTCCTTCTTTTCCTCGTGCCAGACTTGTCCACGTTTACTTCGGGATGACACAATAAAAACATATCGATCTAAAGAACTTGCTGAGCTTCTTCCTTTCTTCGTTGGTCTTGTCAAAGGCGGTACAGGTGGTGCCCCGGAAGTATCTTCTTTTTGGAAAGAGAGCGTGTCCTCTGGATCTAAATCGGGCAATACCTTTGCTTCCGCATTCTGTATACGTTGATCAACGCCTGTGATAGGTGAGTCAGAAGATGTTTGAGCAGAAAGTGTGTCATATTCGGATATATTCCATTTTATCCTGATTAATGGCGGCATTGGTGGCAGCTCATTAGAGTCCACACTGCAGTCAGACATCGACTACTCACGGTCCCATTTCTCAATCAAAACCTGCAGTGCTACTAGGCATAAACTACACGTTAATAGGGGAACGAGAAAACCAACAAAACTAAAGTACAAGTCAGATTCCGCACTTTCGGGAAAAGAAATCATCTTCATCATCTTCATGGTTGCGCATGGTATTTCAATTGTAAGTCAGTAGAAGCCCACGTGACAAATTATGCAACCTTCTGTCACACGGTGTGAGTCACACCTCTGAGATAAAATTTCACACCGTAGAGTGTCGAAATTGTATTACATGCATCCTAATCGAACACTTGATTTGACGGTATCACTAAACGAACTGTTACAAGAATTAGATGTCCTTCTGCATCACCCGTTAGCGACCTTACAGATCCCCCGATCCATCATTCCATACAAGAGAGTTAGTAAGGCGTGACTATTTTCGCGATCTCTTGGCACAGGGTAACCCATGCCTACTCCGCACAAAGTGAATTTAGTTTGGTAATACATTACCTAGGTTTCCACTTCCCCTTCTCACCCATCAGAATGTTCTTTGCACAGATATGGAGGTACAGTCGTGGCAAGTGAAATCTGACACTTGTCATAAGGGACAGCACCATGCATCCAGCAGTCCCTGCAGCCCTGCATACGTAGTACATGACTTGTGTTACACATAACCTATATCTGCCTCATCACAGAACTCGTACCGATCACAGGCAAGGTTCACAGTCAAAGTTCAAACGGTGCTGGCAAAAATGAATGAGGATTGGATACCAATACTCCTTATGTTTACCATGTCTGTGTACTGTATGTGCCTCCTCTGTGACCTTCTTGGGGACCAGGAAATCTTCCATTGGCACAGAGTATAATTATGATTTACTGCAAGGATCAAAGCGTTAGACGCTCGCCCTGCAATGATGGTTTAGATGGACACGACGCCTTGGCAGGTCACTGTTAGCCACTACGTACATGTACACCACACCCTGCCAGCCTTTCCTTTCACCTACCGTCGCTGACTTGTGAGTTGGTGATGGATTTGTCTTGTGCATTTGGCAATTTTCAAATGTCACTTTACACGTCCAGTATCATTTTGTTGGCTTTCATGTGGCTGCTACTTCGCACATTCTCTATAACCACCCAATATCGACGTTTAGTTATAGTGCAGCCATATTATATACCTTTCTTTCTCTTAGGTAGTTAATTAGCACTTCTGTTAGTTGTGTCTGGCAGGGTTCAAGCACCTCCATTCTACACTATTAAATTTTGGTTTCTGTTAGTTTGTCACACATGTGTGTTAGTTGAGAGTGTTTACGTTACGACAGTATCTTAATCTGCTGTAGAACAGTATTCTCATGTCCATCCCCTTTCAGTCAACGCTTGTTCTTATCTGGTGAGATCCCACTATACTTATTACCAATATGGAACGAAGAAATCTTGTCAGGAGTAACTACTTCCTGCAGTGGAGTGTTGCTGGTGAACGTTTCGCGCTGGTATTCGCGTGCGGTGTAATCTCGTCTGGACGAAAAGAACCTACAAAATTACTGATTCTGATAAACAACCTAATACGGACACATACACATCACTCCCTTGTATCGTTCTGAACTCAGATCCACGGCACGCGTACCAGTTTATTCACCTAGACCAACCCTACCACTTTCAGTCTCAGCTTATGTGAAGGTCTCTTGCTTGTTGGAGCGGGGGTAAAGATGACCAGAACCTAAGTCCGTGGAGCTGATTAAACCACATCGCCACTGCTGCTGGGTGGAGCCACATCTGTTGTTCTCGTACCTTTGTATATCCCTTGGCACTTTTTCGATTGACCTTTTCACTTCTAGGGGGCTTGACGTTCGCTCTACTTGTCCAGATTTATCCAATTACGACTTACCATCTAGTAATCAAATAAATAAATAAATGTTGTCATGCTAATATCAGCACTGCCCTCTCCATTGCATGTTGTCAGTGTTTCTAGACCCGCAACTCTTGGACTCGAATCCCTAATGCTAAATGTATATGCCTCTCTGGATATACTAGAGTGAAAACTAAACCGAAACTCGACTTCTACCCGACTGATTCATTTTCTGTAAATATCTCACAGTAATGAAGCACTAAGAACTCAGATTGTGAATCAAGGAAAAAATGGCAACATGGAAAACTGTGGGCACAAATGAAGCACACAGCGAGCAATCGCAAGTCATCACGTACATTCAAAATCAACATAATGTTTCGAATCGACCTATTTTTCAGCATCACTTTTCAACGAGGACGAAGCAAAGTCGGCCGAACGAAGCCCAGAGGAAGAAAATCACCTTCTCCACTTCACCGTCACGATACTGACATAGATACGAGACGAAACAACTAAAGAATCCACAGGAAAACTGATCGGCCATCGACTTTGGTCTGAGAATTTCTATCACGATCAAAAATGTACGAGGAGCACTCAAAATACGCTACAGACGTACCTTAATCACTCTCTACTCCTTTTTCAAGACACAAAAGTCGACTCTCCACTTTCAAACCAGGAACCAGACATACCAGTGGTCCTTTTCAGCTGCTCCACGAGCGCAGGAAATGTTCACCAAGGGGCGCAGAGCAGCATCCATTTCAGAAAAAGAGCTAACATACGAATGAGACTGCATGCCTGAGTACATGAGTACATGCATGAGTAGAAGTACATGCAGAAAATAGTCAATTTCAGCGTTTCTGCTCCAAACAGCAACTTGCTTCGACTAGCTACAAAGATTGCACCAAAGGATCAAACAACAACCGTTTTCTTCATTTTTTGACCGGCGCCTTCCTTGTGCTTGGCCCAGCATACCAAAAATCACACCTCGGAGGAGTACAAAAATTACAACTCCCAGATGTCCTCGATTGCTGGCCATGGCTAGTTCGCACATTAAGAATGCTCTTATTGGACTTAAAATGCCCAGGGCAACTTGATGGCAACATATAATATATGTTGCCATCATAAGAGCAAGGTTAATTTAATACTCTTTAGTGTCAGAAGTCATTGCGTTCAAACAGTCACTCTGCACGCTGCAGGGGAGCAACAAAGTATATCATTTCAATCGCCACGCAAATTGGTCATTGACTACCCCAGCTACGAAATTATCATACGCATTTCCGCGGCAGCGTCAACCAAGCAGTTATGCTTGATCCACAAGTTCGCTTATGCTGGACATTGAAACAGAGCAGATGTAGATATCTCCTAGAGAATGGGGCTCTACAAACCAATGATCAACGTTAGTACTTCAGTAACATAAAGTAACATGGAGCGTCATAAGATTGGTGTTATTGGGGAAAACGTCATCATTATTGTCTCTTCATATAGCATCATGGTCAATGGGTGGCGAGATAATTATAATGTACGAGGTTGAGTTTCCAGATAGTTATTAAAAGATTCAAATAGTAATTATTATAGAATGATTTTATGAGTTTATAAGGGTGCCATGACTGCTTCTACTCGTGACGATGGTGTGCACAAACACTCTTCACCAGCGCGTTCCATGCATGCTACGTAATAAAAATAAATAATACCTTCTCGTTGTCGCCGCGCTATGCTTTTCCGGAGTCACATCTGGCTGCGGCCAACTACCCTTCACTTTGTGTAGTGTGTCTGTTGCGGTCTATGTCTCTATGTGTGCCCGTATATGTGGAGCGAGAATTTGTGTTTCTCGCCGACCGAGCGCAGCGAGTTAGGCAAGAAATGATTTCTCGCGAAATATTTTCAGTTGCAAATATGGCGTCTGGTGTGTTCGTTATTGTCGCTTTTTTCCCTGACTTCTTCAGTCAGTTTTGAGTCTCACCAGTGTCCCTGCCCTCCCACCCTTCATTTCTGTGCCTATTATCATTGCTTTGTTTATCACTTTTTGCCGTGATGTGCTTGCCATGCCTACATGATGCCTAATCGCCGTTGGGGATATTTTTCCCTCGCAACTGCGTCCGTTGGCGCGAGGGTTTTTTCCCGGCTGGCTCGGTCCAGGAAAATTAATCTGACGGTTCCAAGTAATTCTGCATCGTGGCCTATTTCTGCTATCCACTGTTCTCAGTCATTGCTTCCATACCTCACTTGTTATCCGGTTCACATCTGGCTATGGCCAACTACCCTTCACTTTGTGTAGTGTCGCTACTGCGGTCTATGTCTCTATGGGTGCCAGTATATGTGGGGCGAGAACAACGAAGTCCTCTGAAGTCGAAAAACCCTCTCCTACATTGTAACTGGTAATCGCCTGAAAAACAATTCGGCGAAGTGTGCCTCTCGAGAATTGTCCCTAGCATCGACCCCGTTTCGACGATTCGACGGCAACGAAATGTCACTCGACGAAATGATGTTCGGGGTACTGACCGAGAACCTAAAGACTAAAGAACTCATCAATGCGATGAAAAATCATTGAACTTCACAAATCGATCATTTAGGTGGAGGAATTGGTCCCACAAAAAAATGAGCACAAGTTTAGCCGGCTTTAGGAATTGTTTATCAGGCAGTAACGTTATAACCCTGTTTTTAAAGAACTGAAATAACAGACAAAAGTGATAATTTAAGCACATTCCACTGTACATAGCTCCGGGATTGAGTTGTACGGGACCAAATTGGGATGTATGATGGATAAAGAATGCAAAAAAATGATTTCGGGGAAGAACTGATTCGCAGGCAATGTTTTATGATAGATGTGTGCAGGGGTGTATTACGTACTGCTGCTGTGACAGTGACGAGACGTAAGCTGAAAACAAAGATGTTTGTGATGTAAAAACTATTTTCCTACTTGTAACAGGATGGTCAGGAGGTGGGCTGTGGCTATGCAGAGGTGTGATTTTGTATTTTATAGCAAACAAGGAGATATTCCCAAACCGAGACAACAGACAATAATTGGTCGTTATGATCAATGTGGTCGAGTGGCGTAAATGTTTCTTCAAGTAAAGTATGCACCTAGGTGAAGTAGATTATAGTACTGATCGCTTTCAAACCTGTATATATATATGAGCAGATCATCATGCAGTGAGTTCGAGACTAATTTGTTCGCATATTGTAAATGAAGTTTGTCCTCTGTGTGAGTTCGGGCAGGAGCACACGACTTTGAGAATTCTGTGAATAACCTCTTTCTTGAATATTCACGTTCTCGTTCAGGTCGATTACTTGGTCTGTTGAAATACGATCTACACGACTTGCTCATTTATGAAAGATCCAGTGTGTGAAATCGTTCATGAGCATGTAGAATTGATAACTGCGTGAACGATTTTCGACATGTCTTGCATTTGTAAGGCCCCTCTCTAGTATGAATACGTTCATGAACACGAAGATAGGACCGCTGCTTAAACGATAATTCACATGTCTCACACTTGTAAGGCCTCTCCTCTGTGTGAATGCGCACGTGTGCACGTAGATTGGATGGATGCTTGAACGATGCATCACATGTCTTGCACTTGTAAGGCCTTTCACCTGTGTGAATATGTTCATGGAGACGTAGTACAGATAGACTACGCAACTCCTTCGGGCAATGCTGACACTTGTGCAACGTTTTATACTTAGAGAGCTTGGCTTGTTTGGAAACGGTAGTGGTAGCCGGAGACCCTGTGGACTGATGCAGGACGTCATGCCTGGGTTCTAATTGACTTTCGTTCCCATCCCCTTCCTTAAACGGATCTTGTCTTTGCTTTTCAGAACTTCCCATACGACCAAACGGAATGCCAGCGGAAGATGCAATCGCTGTCGATGTCAGCTGTGCGTCTCCATGGAGGTGATTGTGTAACTGTCTGGTTTGTTTTTGACTCCAACGCATATCAGCATCATTCGAATAATCTGATACCACATCTGTCCAACGTTCCTGCTGCTGATCGCCAATCTGAGTACCGCTGTGGAACGAAACAAATGTAAACAATAGTAGAGCTTTTGTTCTTTTTCTCAGGACTCTAAGCGCATAGTTGGGACACTATCTCATGCCTGTGCACGTGGATGAACCATTGGATATAACTTGCTAAAACAAATAAGTATTGCAATCTTACACGATTGGACAAGAGTATGGCTACGGGTCATGATTAAACAACACACCCCTAGTGTTTAGCCAGAAACTGCAATAACCTGACAGACACTCAACTACCTGGGAATGAACACTCGAATTCTTGTCATGAATGACAATCCACCACTGGCTTAGCCAAGAAGTGCACAAATTACGTACAACATTGACATAGCAGAAAGACACTTTTTTTACCAGCCGTGGGCCATCCCCTGCTTTCAGAGGTGCGAAACGTTTTACGTTTTTCATTCACTATCGTGATCAGGAAAAAAGAAATAAAGACTCGGATAGTAAGCCCATTATAGGTATGATGAAGAAAGTAAAAGGACAACATGTTACGAGTTATGACAAACTGTTCACCAACGTAACCAGATCTTATACAGTCAGCGAGTGCGACAAAATGGCACAAAACTGACAAGGAGTAATGACACTTTCGGCGACCTGACACCTAGCTGCAACTCTTCTCCAAGGCGCATACCAACAACCTTCCAACTTGGAAGGCTCAGGCTCGGAAAGGTCCAAGAGGGGAAGGAAAGCGCAACGAGGAAGAGCAGGAGCTACGCATCAAGGCAACAAAGACCTATCATGACCTATACGGCGAAACGTACGTCTTGTGGAACTACTTGTTATTGTACATAACTAGTCCATCATACATGATAGTGGAGTTCAGTAGGATGTTGGCGTTTCGGTTTGTCACAATTCGTCTTCGCTTAGCTTCCCCTTCTATGTTTATCACATAAACTTGAGCCTCCCAAGTTGGGTGGTCTGTTGCTCTGCGTCGATGAGTTGTGGTAAGGCCGGTCTGTCCAATAGTCTTACTAGTTTCGTCATCATCCAGTAACTTTCGGCATTTTTTGTTGCCGTGATGCGTAGCTCATGCTCTTCTTCGTTGCGCTTTCCTTCCCCTCTTGGACCTTTCCGAACCTGAGCCTTCCAAGTTGGAAGGTTGTTGGTTTGCGCCTTGGAGAGGTGTTGGAGCTAGGTGTCAGGTGGCCGAATGTCTCATTACTCCTTGTCAGTTTTGTGCCATTTTGTCGCACTCGCTGACTGTATTAGATCTGGTTACGTTGGTGGACAGTTTGTCCTAACTCTTAAAATTTTGTCCTTTTCCTTTCTTCATCAGAAAGAAAGACACTCTTAAATACTGTTAAATCGGAAAGTCTAACGAGTCACAAAGTCTAACGTTTGAACGTCCAATTATTTTTTTGTTATTGAAAGAAAACCGTTATCGCTAGATGTCTGTGTAAAGAAGCGCATACAGATGGGTGGCCAGGTAGCCATCGTTAAACTTTCTGCACGTAATCATGCCAAAAATACAAAAAACGTTAAACTTTCTGGTCGTTAGACCTTTCGGTTTTAGAGTACATCAATATCCTACAGTCCTACTCGTGAATTACAATGTATTTCGTCAAATTTACTCCCAAAACGACACCCTGTGCAAAAAATACAAATATATTCAAGATATCAGAATACTGTACAGTGTTGTAAATTAGAAAAAAATGAGAGATCAACAATTTAGTTTCGACTTACATCGCTCCCTGAGCAGGTCTTTTTGGGAAGGAAAGAGGGAAACGTCCAACTGGGCGAACAAATGGCATTGCCGGTGCGGTTATGTATGGCGAGGTATACACTCCTCCTATACCATCCAACTTCGGAATCTGTATATGGACACAATGTAAAAGTGTGCGTTTGATCACGATCAATGTTATTATTGCACTACACATGAAAACTTCAGTGATGTCACTATGTGTCACTTCTTGGTTGTATGCAGTGGCTATGCACGTGTTTCACTGTCCATTGGTACAACAATGTTTCCTGTTTAGGGACGCATGGAAACGTGTTCGAATAATTCTTGATTTTCACTATTGCATATTCTGGGATGGAGAGGCAAGGTTCAGTTTATAGTAACGAAAAAAGAACCACGAAACCGCAAGTTACGCTATAATGTCCACTAAAACCCCAAATTATCAGCTCATGCGATAGCAGTGCACGACACTGACCGACAGTACTGACAATCTTCAACTAACTGGCTAACAGCTCTAGCACATCTTGGATGCGCACTCCAACAGCCTTCCACATGGGAAGGTTCTAGGTTATAGAAATAGCATGAGGAGGGGAAGTAACTGGTGGTGTTAGTGGATATTATAGCTTACTTGCGGTTTCTTTACTATAGATCGCATATTCTGTTCACATTTTATTGCACAATGTTTCCATCGATTTACAAAGTCTTGAATATTTTTATATGTTGGTTTGAAACGGTGTCGTTTTGGGAGTAAATGTGACGAAATACATTGTCATTAATGAGAGAGTAGCCACGTGTCCGTCCAGCTTGTTCTCTTTATTCGGATTGCAAGATTGTTGTCTCCTAGCAGTTTGTTTATTAAAGTAAACGTAAGATCGTACGTTTGTACGAGACTACGGTCCTGTCCTGTCCTGTCCTGCGGTGCACACATGTACATGTATATGTACATGACTGATTGTCGTGCATGCCCAGACGTCCAGCACACACGCGTGTCGAAATGTGTTTTTTTGCCGGGAAAGTCTGTACAAATTAAGTCAGGGTCCCTTTAGTCCTTCGCATTTTGAATACGAATCCCTATCTAGTAGGGCCGCAGTCACCCGATTCGGTGGAAGTGCGCGAGTTCGTTTGGAAATAAAGGAGGAAGGGAGCGTATCAGCTTCCTGGGACCAAGACCATTCGGCTCAGAACCCCGAAGACTACAACTTGTGAAATTTTGATTTTAGGCTTAACTTCCCCTTCAACGCCTATCGGTATCACATGTGTAACCAAGCGGAAAGCGCGAGCTCCGATGTAAGGAGCTAACTTACACCTCTCGTTCATTTATCTTTTTCTTGTAAAGAGGGTTTTCAAACCACATAGTGCCCACGCCGTTCAAGGTCACAAAAGTGACCGAAAAGTAACGGACCCTTCTCTGGACGGATGCTACGTGTATAATATTGCGTTCTATCTGTGTTTTTTTAGTATTAAAAAAGTTACTTATATGGATTGGGTTGGAGAGTCAAGGATTTCTTGAAGTTTCTAGCTCCTTTTTTCTCCTTCTATAAATTACTTCCCTTCGGGAACGGATACGATAATTTATTATTTTATTTTTTTATAAATTACTTATCATTATTAGGCTTTTGTCCTTTACTATACAGTTAAGGCTTAACTGATATGGTACAAATCAGTCAACTACATTATACAAAGCTTTCGGCAGTCAACTATACTGTAATGGAGTGGAGTGTAGTGGCAAAGCACGTTAAGGCTAGACTTAATTGATCTAGGCTAAGTTTATTTGATATTCGCTGTGTTCTTCTGTAGTCTATTCTGGTTGACTTACCTGATTGTGTGTGCTATATTGTCCCTGTAACATGCTGGTGGCCTGCACCGAATCGGTAATGTGTGGTTTGGATTCCAGCGTGGGCCAGTGAGCGTCTTCCGCTTCCTGGTGCATTGTTGCAGCAGCAATCCTAGGAGTGGAAGTACCCCATGTGGCCATGTTAGTCACAATCTCTGAGGACCGACTACGTGTTTCGTGGCCCTGGTTGGTACTAGATGATGCGGCAAATGGGTCTTCGTTGAGGTAGATGTCCAGCTCTTTCATTTTGTCTTGGCTCCAATACCTATCATAATCATTGGATACAAATTCGGTCAAATGTTCTTTTTGCTGGTCGCTGCTCTGAGTACCGCTGTGGAACGAAACAAATGGAAAAAATGGTTCGGCTTTCGTTTTATATCAATCCATTCTGAGCGCCTTGTTGGGACATCCCTTATCCTTATGCACGTGGAAGGACCCTTGGATACAACTTGTTAGAACCAATAGGTATTTCTATATTACACAATTTACTGGACAGTACAGTTACAGGTCATGATTAACAACCCACCCTTCTTGTTTTATTGTTTAGCCAGAAGCTGCTTAATTCACGTAGCCCCTCAACTACCAGTGAGCCATCACTCGAATACTTGCCATGAGTAACAATACAAGGCAAGGAGAGCGACAATCTTCGGCACATCCTTGACATGGCAGACAGACCCTCAACGACCTAACATCTTGCACCAAAGTGGAACTTAACAGCATCAATGTCCTACAGCCGTTTTCAAAAAACGTACAAAAACATTCTACATATCAGAATAATGTACAATGTTGTCGATTAGAAAATATTGACAGATCAATCATTTTGTTCCGACTTACATCGCTTCATGAGAAGGTTCTTTTGGGAAGGAGGTTTCCGAAGGAAGTCCTAAAGAAGGAACACTTCCCACTGGGCGAACAGATGGCATTGGCGGTGCGGAAGTGCTTGGCGAGGTATACACTCCTCCTATAACGTTACCACCCAACTTTGGAATCTGTATTTTGGAAACAATGTAAAAGAATGCGTTTCATCGCGATCATTGTTATTATCAAAACTACACATGTCTAATTTATTGATGTCGCTACGTGTAACTTCTTGCTTGTTTATTAAAAGTACGTACTTGTTTGCAATATGAAACTCGGATGTTGAGCCATAAATAAATGTAGAAGAGAAAACTTAACTCGTATCCATATGTCCTTTTCTCTTCTACGTACTTGTTTCATTGCCCATTTGTACAGCGATATTTCCGTTTGAGTGGTATACCAAATCTTGTTCGAATTGTTCTTGATTTTTCTTTGTTGCATACTCTCGGATGGAGAGCCAAGAATAAATTTAAAGAAACAAAAAGAACCTAGAAAGCGCAAGTTACGCAAGAATGTCCACTAACACCACCAGTTAAACAGGCAGCTCATCCGATAGCATTACACGACATTGACCGACGGTACTGACTTTCTACAACTACCTGGCTAACAGCTCTAGCACATCTTCGATGCACACTCCAAATTAATATTTTAAAGAAATAAAATGAGGAGGGGAAGTAACTGGTGGTGTTAGTGGACATTATAGCGTAACTTTTGGTTTCTTGGTCTTTTTTCTTTACTAACTCATTTATAGTTGATAAATATGGTGGTAAAGACACACCCGGCAATATGGCGGTAAACACACGCCTGCCCCATTCTAACTCATTTATAGAAAAGAGAAAGACCAATAAACTTCAAGTGTCGCTATACTATTAAACCTTGGCTCTCCATCGGAGTCCGTTTCTGAACAACTTATTTATACATTGCATATACTGTCCACATTTTATTGCACAATGATTGTATCGATTTACACAGTTTAAATAGAGTAGCCAAGTGTTCGTTCAGTTTGTTCTCTATCTTAGGATCGTAAGATTGTCTCCTTTCACTTTGTTCATTATCGCCGATTGGTAGCAGATGAACGCGGCGGAAAGCACGAGCTGCGATGTCAGGAGCAAACCTACACCTCTCGATCATTTAACCTATTCGTGAAAGAGGGTTTTCACACCACTGAATGAAACTGCATGTATTTCGACCGTCATTATACAAAAATACATACTGTGATCACCTAATACCCCCGTCGTCGAAGGTCACAAGTGTGACCGAAATGTAACGGACCCTTCTCTGGACGGATGCTACATGTATATGTAGGACTCAGTATAGAGTCCATGCACTATATGATGTCCAGCACCCTATATAGAGTCCATTGGTCCAAAATCCACTATACAGAGTCCAGGAGTCCACTCAGTTTTTATCAGCTTCATCCTGCCGCGCAATCCCCTATAAGGAGTACACTTTTTCTACAAGTCCCCTATTCACGGTCCAGGAGTCCAGTTTATCCAGTCACGCCGTCCTGTGTGTTGTGCCCGAAACTGAAGAGAACAAACACCTTTTCAGTTTTGCTTGCCTCGTGGCAGCGCATTCCTTTCTTCACTTCAGCCATGGCTGCCAGTTCTGCTGTGCAGTTGCTGACAGTAATCTGTTTCGAGCTAACCAAGGAGGATAAGGAGACGTTCAAAATCAAATCTGGAAAGCGTCTTGTGGTTCTCTGAAGATGTTTCATCAGTGCGCGGGATGAAAGCAGAAATTGCAGAACGAGAAAAGTTCAGCACAGTTCAAATCTGACGAGTCAGGTACACTGACACTCTCTTTCGTTCGACGCCACAAGGATCCCCTGTTTGGCTGGCCATTGCTGCCAGTAAGGCGTTTGAACGGTTTCATCAGAGCGAGGGATGAAAGCAGAAAGCGGAGAACGAGAAAAGTTCAGCACAGTTCTAATCTGACGAGTCAGATACACTGACACTCTCTTTCGTTCGACGCCACAAGGATACCCTGTTTGACTGGACAAGAGCTGCCTGTACCACCGTGTCAAAAGGCTGTCCAACTACATGGCAGGACGATGACTGAGGTAAGGAAGCTTTTACTCGTTTCGATTGGTCTGCTGTTCTGTCGTTATGCTTGAATTTTTTTCCATTTTCAAGGATCGTATCGCGTTTGTTTGATGTTGCTTGAATGAATGCCCTAAAAGTAATCAACCACTTCGTAATAGTCCTCAAGGACTGCAAGGACTTTGCATCAATTGTATACGCATACGATCGTCTAGCTATCATCAATTATTATTTTATTTCATGAGAAATGTATTTTTATCCCTGTGATAATTATGTGAACTTCACGACACTCTTCCTCTACTAGGCTCTAGTATGATGTCAAATACAATGGGATCCACAAACGCAGTGCCAGTGTACTAGTAGTAGTAGTAGTAGTAGTAGTAGGAGGAGGATTTCTCGTATGCCGATGACAAGAAAAAGCTTCTCAAGCTAATACATGTACTCGTATTCCATGAAGTAACCGTTTTGATGTCACAAACATGACATTGTGTCAGTGAAACTGCCTCGTGACAACAAATCGTTGCATTTCCATCTTGGGGAAGACTGACTGACGGCAACGCTGTACAGATTGTTCAAATCACCTCATTTCAATTTAGTTGCAGTGAAGTGAAACACTGTGTACACTACATGTATGGTGGTGTGTCTGTGCATCTTGAGTGTGCACAAACGATCTTACTGTAAGACATGTTATTATAACGAGTCGCAAATTTAACGATTGTCCAAAATTCATAGGTTAACGAGAAGATATGTTAACGATCTTGAAATATTCTGCCATATCCACACACAGCATAATATGAATCAGTACGGCCTCAACGGATCTTATTATAACAAAGAAATGTCCGTTAAAACGTTAGATTTGCTTCCTCGTAATATTATACATGTCTTACAGTATTCCTCGTATTACTAATAGATTATTGTCCCCACCGTCACCTGTTCACAGGTCTTTGAGTGGATGGATTTTCATTGAGCATTACATTCGTTGAGAACTTGGTAGTTGTGTGCTTCCATGCATCATTACGGTAATACGCGTATCCTTGTGCTATCTATTTGTTGCAGGTGTGCTGATCTTCAGAAGATTGCGGAACTGAGTGCTGCTGAACATTTGCATGGCCATGAGCAATGGCCATGAGCAATGGTGAAGCTTGCTATTGCACTCTCAGCATGTTCTAGTATTATGCTGACTACTGCACTATGTTACTCTCTTACGCTACTACACGTATGTAAACGTGCGCGCATCCGCCCATGTATGCATTCGTTTCGTATAATTATTTGTTATCCCTCTTGACTTTACGTGTAAATGGGTGGACGTTTGCATGGCTGTTGGAGTTGCGTGTGTATTGTGTCTCTACTCTTTTCTTGGTGTTTTCCTGGCGTTGTATAAGTTTGCGTGTGTGTGTGTTTGTGTGTGTGCGCGTGCACAATCATTTGAAAACAAATAATTAATCCTTGGCTCTCCGTTGTTCTCTTTCGATTCTTGGTTTTTTTCTAGGTATTTTCTTGGCGTTGTGTGGGTATGTGCATGTGTGTGCGTGCACAATAATTTGGCAACACTACATGATTGAGATATTGTAATTTGCAGTGTCTGCGAAAAGACCACTTGATTTGAGGATGGTGTTTGTAGGGTTTTTCATGTAATGAAGTGGCTGCAGTGGCGCCTGAATACTTATTTTTTATCTTGAGAAGTGAATGATGTAAAGGATTAAAGGGAGAGGCCGTTTTCTGGTTAATATTCACTGCTTCAGCAGATCCTTTGTCTAATTTCGAACTCTGGATAGGGGATGCCTAATTGGCTGGACTTTATACAGGGAGTGTTGTCCACATAAAGATTCCTTATAGTTAATTTCAAAGTTTTGACTCCATACAGTTGATTTTGGACCAATGGACTCTATAAAGGGGTGAAGCCAATTGGCTGGACTCTATACAGGGAGTGATGTCCATCTAAACTTTGAGCTCACAGCTGATTCCAAGTTTGCACTCTGTACAGTGGATTTTGGACCAATGGACTCTATATAGGGGTTGGACATCATATAGGGGCTGGACGCTCTACTGAGTCCAACATATATTATTGCGTTCTATTTGTGTTTTTTTTAGTATTACCTAAGTTACTGATATATGGACTGGGTTGGAGAGCCAAGGATTTCTTGTTCTTTATTTTCTCCCTCTATAAATTACTGATTTTTAATAGGGTTTTCCTTAACAAAACAGTTTAGGCTTCACTGATGGCTTCACTTTTTCTCCTTCTATAAATTACTTCCCTTCGGGAACGGATACGATAATTTATTATTTTATTTTTTTATAAATTACTAATCATTATTAGGCTTTTGTCCTTAAATATACAGTTTAGGCTTCACTGATGTGGTATAAATCAGTCAACTACATTATACAAAGCTCTCGGCAGGCAACTATACTGTAGTGGAGTGGAGTGTCATGGCAAAGCACGTTAAGGCTAGACTAAATTGATCTAGGCTAAGTTTCTTTGATATTCGGTGTGTTCTTCTATAGTCTATTCTGCTTGACTTACCTGATAGGGTGCATTATATTGTCCCTGTAACATGCTGGTGGCCTGCACCGAATTGGTAATGTGTGGATTGGATTTCAGCGTGGGCCCGTGAACGTCTTCCAGCTGTCCAGCGTTCCGCGCTATATCCGTAAAGCTCGTTTCAACGCCGACAGCAGGACCTGGCAATCCGTCGATTATTTCATCCAAAATATCGTGCTCTCTTTGTGCGTTAGTAGGGTCCCCTAACAATACGGGAATGCACGACCAAAAGTGAAGAATATTTATTTTATGGTGAAAAGAAGAAGGGCAAAATGTTACGAGTTATGACTAATGACTCTTTTCACAATAATTTTATTGGCTCACCATCCGATTTAATTATTTTTTGATATTTGTTTGCTCAAATAAGATTTCGGTGATAAAAATAGCATTCATGGCGTACTTCGAAATCCAAAAACAACGAACGAAGCCCTCGCTTTCCATTCCGTCTTTGTTAGACACCACATTGGAGAATGTGTCATTACACCAAGCGCAAATTTAACATTGTGTGTTTCTTATCCTGCTGCAGCAGGTTATACCCTCATTTGACTTTCATTTTCCAATGAATGCAAAACTGCAAATCGATTAAAGTCCAGCTATAGCAAATTTACATGTATAATTCAGCCACAATGAAAATCAGGAGCAGGACAGCATTGTATTTCTAACTGTCCATCACCGTAACCAGATCATATACGAACAGCGTGTGCGACAAGAAAAGGCACAAAACTGACAAGGAGGCCTGAAAAATTCAGTGACCTGACATCTAACTTCAAGGAAGATTCCAAGCTATGATAAACCATGAAAAAAGGGGAAGGTGAGCGGAAGCAAGACTCGAGACTAAACTAAATCTAGAATGAAACTTGTACCACACAATTCAGTATTGTGTTAGCTGCGGGACCTTCGGACTGGTTTCTGCTAGTGTTGGACACAAACTACGGCTAAAATTTAAAATTTTGGTTGTTTTTTTAGACAATGATTCTTGGTTCTCCGTCCGAGTCTAACATCCACACCTGATGAGTCGTCAGAATCCAGATGGCCAAGCCTACTTCGTGTGATACTACCTGTTATTGCCGTTCGTAATCCCACCAAAAATTCCACTCTATATGTAGTTTAGGACGAAGAGATTGTACCATCCATTCTGTCTCACTTCGTGTTCGGGTAACTTCCAACCTTGTTGCTTATCTCCGATACACATGAGCAGCCCAACTTGGGTGGTCTTTGTTTCGCGTGCTCGAAGTAAGCCTTTCCTGTTCTGTGCCGTAGTTTTTTGGTCTTCGTTTCCAACTCGTCATAGAGAATATTCTCAGTTTGCTGTGATGTTTAGCATGCTTTTGTCTTGAATGCGCTCACCTGTACCATTTCGGTCCTTTCTTACAGATTACGTAAAGTTCATAATATGAACTTAGAAGTTACAAATTCGGCGGTGTTAATCATTAAAATTGGCTGTTCAAAAGAAGAACACACGCTTCCTGCCGTACTTGACACTTGACTGACTCACGACTGCATCCGGAGCATGCGAGGAGCACGTCGCACATTCCACTCGGCATACCTGCAAGAAAGCACCACTCCCTCCTCAATACACAGTGTTTCGGGAAATTCACCTCTCGTCAGGTGGCTTTTGTTTGGCTGAGTAAGGTTATGCCTGAGTCAGAGTCGCTCATAATGTTGTGTAAAGCAGTCTTTGAGAGCTATCGGCTCTTGAAAACGTGTCGCCTCCAACGAGGTGTTTGTCGCGCTCAAAACAAAGTGTCTCTGCAATTTTGTATCCCTGGAGATGGTTTGATCTGGAGGGAACTGTATATGTGGTGATTTTCAGGCACAATCTTCCTCAGCCTACTCAAGCTCAACTGACGAGGGGTGAATTACCCCAAACACTGTGAATTGTAGTGTGACGCGTTTCTGCAGATTTGCCGAGTGGAAGGTGCGACGTGCTCTTCGTGTGCTCAGAATGCAGGCATGAGTAAGTCAATAGTCAAGCTCAGCAGAAGCGTGCGTTCCTCGTTGGAACAACCAGCTTTCAGATTATATTTGACAACAATAATATCATGATAAAACGAACTCGGGCGCATCACGTTTGCACCCATTTTACATTTACATTATACTACTTGTACGGGTTATGATTAAATGTGCACCAAGGTAACCGGATCATAATATGCTGTGAACGAGACCGATGAAAGGCACACAACGAACTAGAAGAGTACATTCAGCGACTAGACACATCGGTCTTTCACGCCTTCGAGGCAGAAACCCATAACCTGTGAACTTGGGAAGCACAGGAAGGGGGAGGTCGAATGAAGGGAAGGAAGGAGCAAAGGATAATAGGCATTAGCTATGTCCGACGGCAACGAAGAGAACCAAAAGTCTATGAACGACAACGACATTAGCGGGAAATTTGGACATACTGACCTTACTGCAATTCGACGACGTGTATCTACATGTATTATGATCATATAATCACTTTGGTGGACTTTTGATCATAACCCATAATATATTGTCCTTCCTGTTTTGTCCATGAACACATCTGCTCGCAAACTCAGTTCTAAATCCAGACCATGTTTTTTTGCTACATGTATGTTCACACTCCCAGCTCAAAAATAATGAAGAAAGACAATGGTACTGCGTCGAGGACGAACGTGACCACTATTGAGCAGGGCCTGCACCGAGACGCAGCACTGATGGTAGGACATTGATGGCTCTGCCAACCTGAGGTCTCGGCATCACGGCCAAAAACGCGCACCAAAAAACAAAAGAGAGAGAGCTGTACGAGTCAGCAAAGTGAAAAGAAGGGAAGTCTAGTATTAATGTTGGTCTATCAAAGAGCTTGGTACCCTAGTTTGCAATGAAACAGCCAACAATGGATTTGCACTACACTCCTTAGAATATTGGAACAGGACGATTAGTTTTCAATAACTGTTATACACTGTACATGTACTCACGTGCCGTCGGGTAATTCAGGTAGGAGAACAGATCGGCATCGGACTCTTGTTGCGCATGTCCCGTTTGCTGGTCACTACCATCAATACCACTGTTTCTCCGGTCTTCCATGACCCTGTGCCTATGTGGTCAAATACGAAGAAGAAAACACTTCTAAAGAGACTGATTGGCTGATGAACACACAGACTTGAAAATACAAACTTCAATACTCAACTAATTTCAGAAAATAATGAGCACCGTCTCAAATTCATATTTGCCCGCGTAGTGTTGAAGATTGTATCACCCCGTTGTTGATGGTGTAATATCGTAGGCGAAACAGTAGCAATCATCGAACTTATGGTAAGAGAGTGAAATAGTGGTATTCCGCCAGTCTTGTTGTTACACGATCGTGTACATTCTCATAGTGTGAACATGGATATGAATTTCCAGTGCCAGTATTATGCCATGCGTTTTCTTTCTTGTAAGGTCAACTCGACTGCACAGACTCAGTATGTAGCACTGGCTCGGCAAAAGAGTAGGCAAGGAGGAAGTCAGTTTGTCGCGCAATATCGTAGTAATACTTCAGTGATGTTCAATTGCATCACTTAAACTGTGCAGCACTACAAATATCGACGTGTAGTAACCCTATCATGGTCAACTGGAGTAACGGGGATACAAGGTCGTGCTTACCTGGCACGCTTATGTATATCAAAATGGTAGGTCCAATGTAGCAAAAATTTGCTCCACACCTCAGCCAAACAGAGATCAACGAAGATATTATAGTACTCGGAGCGCTACACCGGTCCACCTCCCATCATCACACGGCTGACACTGAACGTTTCTAGTTCTGCTCTCTAGATCAAGGTGTGGGTCATCGTCACTCAAAAAGTCGAGTGCAGCTATTTTTGCTCCCTGCACGTTGCCCTGATGAAAACTTAAACCGTTTTCTAAGATGTGTCACACTCGCATTTGTCACCCAGAATACTGTAAACGTGTACGTAGCTGCTCCCGATTAACCCAAGCATCGATATATCGTTTTAGGTTGAATGAGAAATGTTTCTCCAACAGGACGGAAAGTTTGCGCATTGTTTTCTCAATTGACACGATAACTTCGGATGATTCGATAATGGGGCCGGGGAAGGTTCTCACTAGTAAGTTAAGAATGTTTTCCTAAACGTATGCATTGACATTAAATGCACAACTAGTTAAAAAGAATACTACAAAAAATCAGACGAAGCTTTGCTGCCTTGAAGATTGAGCAAAATCGAAATAGGATTATGATAATATATTTGCAAAGTGGTGCTCACGTACCCTTCATAAAGGCCTTACATTCGGGAGAATTTTTTATTATTATTTGTAGTGCACTAGACAGGTAAGCGTCGTTTGTGGTAACGTTCTTGCATTCTGAGATTTGATGAGTGCGTGGATGATTTCTCGCATACCTTATGAAAACACGGCGTCTCCCCAGTAAGTAGATGTGAGCGCAAAGTTGATAATTGCCTGAGAGACATTTCACACACTTTGTATGTAAAAGTAAAACGTTTTTCTCTTTCATGTAAGCGATTATGAACATGTAGAAGGACCAGGCGATGGAAGGATGGAGAGAGAGAGAAAGAGAGCACTATTTGAAGTGTTTGGCTCATTGTAATTACTCCAGATTATTGAATGGTGTATGATCTACTCGATATTTTCTACAATGGTTTTTCCTGATTTGCGGGATCTCTTCTTTTGCTGTTTGCGTGGTTACACGAAGTGGCTGTCTGGTGTAACTGCACCAGATCCTGGGGAAATTAAGTAAGATGCAGAGGCAGGATCGTCCAGTGATGCTACACTGCCGTTCTGTGTGCAACGCCGCTGCTAATGCCCCCAGCGAAAACACCAAAAAACAAACACGTGAAAGGACTACAGTATTTATCGTTTTGCTAATAAATGTATGACTGCTCGGACAGTCGATAATCGAAACACAGAGCACCAGCATGATGTTTTCATATTGGGAACCACACAACAGCTTAATTCTCAAGCCAAAGAATTGATGAATACAAAACACAGAGCGACGCAACAAGAGATCATCCCGCAACCAAACCAACATGGGTCTAATGTACTGAATAGTTCTGAAATATACAGGCCAGACAACGCAGTGCAAGCACATAATGTTACAAGGTACTTGAGTTGCAGAACAAAGTGGAACCAAAGATACACTGGGTTATAGCTGCACACTTGTGCATGTGCTTGCTTAGCCTAAGAACACTCAATCATGATGATAGAAACGATTCGGGGGAAACACGCTAACACCGAAGTAAGCATCAACACGTAAATAGTGCAGCTCTGAAAAAATACATTGGCATGTGCATTGGTGTGCAAAGTAGTATCATCCTTGATTAGTCATCCAACCAAGACTTAAATCAGGTTCTAGACGCTGAGATCGCACGCCGAATGTGAAGTGCATCTAGCCTTGAACCTGTCGCACAAGGCACACACACATGGCAAAATGACATCCACTCTAAATATTTCCAGAGGCCAATCATGACAGAACACTGAAATGAAACCACGGGCTCAACCAAGTAAACGCAAAGGAAGTTAGTCAAAATAAGCCATGAAGTGCTTATTTAATTGCAGCGCTGACTGCAGTGTGGCGTTGTAGCCCAATGCCCACTGAGCACAGACACAAGCTGCATTCGACAGGGGCAAGACATACGCTTTTAGTATAATGTCATAAAGTACAGCATTCCAATGACATTACGGACACCTCGGGCAAATGCATGGTCTGTTCGTCTGGCCGACTCGGCTACGCACGAGAGTGTGTGCATGTACGTGTGCATGTACACGCGCATGTAAGCGCGCACGTGCACACACACACACACACCATGTATTCGGTGCGTATGGCGTAGCAGTTGCGGCGTAATGAAGATAGAATCATTACCATGATGTTACATGTACATGAACAGTGTATGTTTCAGTGTAAAGTAAATTTTATTCCCGTAGCTATGCAGAAGACGTTACTTCAGTAACGTCTGGCGCTAGCCAGGGTCCACACAGCTTTAATTTGGTGTTTGTTTGTTTGTTTGTTTGTTTGTGTCACGCCTGGCGCTATCCCGTATCTGTCCCGTACCGTACCGTACCAGCCAAGACAGCTGGCCACAATATATTTTGGTTTGTTTGTGCCATCGGCATGCCTGACGCTATCCCGTACCTGTCCCGTACCATCAAGAATACGGTACAATCAAGAGAATGAGTATATATGCGGAGTGTATCGGGGTAATGCATTCAGTGCAGTAACATTTTGTGTGGATTTGTGTGCGAGGCCGAGATCCCACTAGCAGGCTGGCTGGGCCGCCTGTCGACCAGCCCGGGAATGGCATGTAGGCCGATAGCATAATAATTATAACGTATATAGATGTATAGCAGGGAGTCGTATTATGTAAACGACTCAGTGCTGTCTAGGGAGATTTTCTTGAAAGAAATACGAAGTAGGGAGATGAAGAAATGCAATTAGAATGGATGTTAGTTGCCGAATATGTGACATGATGCGTCAGCTAAAACAACCTTTGGAAGAGAGATCCCGTCGTCTCCAAAATAATCCTGAACGGGCGAGTCAGCGCCAGTCACAGGAAACGTCGGAAGAGAGATCCCGTCGACTCCAGAATGTCCGTGATCGGCAGAGTCAGCGCCGGTAACAGGAAACGTCGGAAGAGAGATCCCGTCGACTCCAGAACATTCGTGATCGGCAGAGTCAGCCCCGGTCACAGGAAACGGCAGGACAGACATCGCGTCGACTCCAGAACGCCCGTGATCGGCAGAGTCAGCGCCGGTCACTAGGGGTGTGCGGATAATGCTCGAAAAGGTGGCAGATTCTGCTCGAAAAGCAGTGAAATTGGCAGAACCATACAAACCTATGGCGGGCAATTACTCGAATTCTGCTCCATTTCTTTATCCACATACCAAACATGCAGGAAACTTACCAAAAAAGTACCGAATTTGCCAATTTTTCTGCCGGCATTATCCGCAAATGCCTACCGTTCACAGGAAACGTAACAAAAAAATTAAAAATTAAAAATATACAAAAAATATTAACGCCGTAGCAACAGACGTCACTTCAGTATCGTTTGGCGCTAGCCAGGGTTCACACGGCTTTGGCACGTCACATGCATGATGAGCAAGCAAAAAAAGCATAGCGTAGGGCCCTGAGCTTCCAAGCTCTCTCGTTTTATTGCAAATTTCTTCGACACAACTTAGTTACTTCACATCTTTGAATATCTCATAATCGATCCAATTGAACTCCGTATCAGTTTAGGAAAATTCTCCCAGGTATACACTAGTCACCACAGCCATGTGATGACATTGGGATGGGCCATAGGTACGATTGCACTCTCCAATTACAATAAATTTGCGCAGATTATCTGTGCAGAAAAAAAATCAAATGCATACCGGCAATCGATGGATGAAGAGAGAGTATGTAAATACAAATATCTTTCCACATGTTCAGGAGCTTACCTTTTGGAGTTCACATCGTTTACACGATCTCTCATGCTGTCTTACACCTTGGCTTTGTTGACCATGGATACGCAATCCCAGAAAACATTCTACAGGAGCTACTAATGTTTTTCACGCTCAATCTCGGCGGTCTACCTCGTCACGTCAATAAAATCCTCCGTGACACTGGCTACAGTCACAAGAGACGCCTCAGTAAGGTAATGAGAAGGACAACACCGTCGAGATCAAGGACAACGAGAAAACAAGACACTCAATAAATACAGCAAAGAAGAAACGAAGACAAGTACAGGATTCCTATATGTTGCCACTGGCAACTGGTTCGGTGGAGAGGACGCTACATTTGTTTGTACCCAGTGGGATCTTTGCTATTCGTATCGAATGAACTGCGACGTCATCACTTCACAGCCCCATATTGGGCTTTGGTAAAGCTGAACGCGTGTGCGAAAGGACCACCCAAAAATGATCTGGTCTAATAATGAGCTCCCAGCGGGAACTCAACAGCGGCAATTAAAACATTTCTGGAAAGTAGCAACTACATGCAGTTGTAGCCCTGCTTTCGCGCCACACCGTTCAGGGTCCTGGACCAGGGAGGCTCTTCCTTGACTTGAGTCATGCATGACCAGACCGGTAACACACCGAGTGTGCAATTCTGGCGCCAGAATTAGATAAATTCCGCCCTCTCTTTATAATTGACGGATTTGACGGAATTGGATAAAATCAATTCTAACGACGGAATTCGTCACTTTTTGTGTAATCGAACTGTGTATCAACAATAACTATTTCTAGAATTGACCGAAATGCGTTTAATCGTAAGCGCCCATTGTCTCTGTGCCTTGAAAATACAATTGCTTGTTGTTGCTGCTGTGCCTGCAAACGGGGATTGGTGTTGGGTCAGAGTGCGTTCTCTGCAGTTGCCGCTGTTGCCAGGGAGCCAGATAGAGCCCGCCGCAAACTATGTGAAGCCGTCGAGATCCGCGACACTGGGCCCCACGTTAACACCAGCACTGGATGGGAACTATAGTAGAAAAAATAAACAACTGCAGGATCAAGAACTCGTGTCCACTCGAAGGAAAGTGCAAGGCGGACAATGTCATCTACCAGGCCATGGTGTCGGACGACACTCGTAACGCCAAGGTCTATACCGGCATGTCTGCGCCGCCTTTCAAAGCTCGCTACTCCAACCATTTGACTACGCTCAGGCATGACCGCTATGAGAATTCCACCGAGTTGTGAAAGCATCTTTGGTCGATGAAGCGGGACAAGAGACAGTACGTCATTGACTGGAAGATCCTCGACAGGGCCACCTCGTTCGATAACACGTCCAAGAGATGTGGCCTCTGCACTACCGAGAAGTATCACATCCTCGAAACCGACGCCCGCACTAGGCTAAACAAGCGAAATGAGATTGTGTCAAAATGCAGGCACGAAAGCAAGTATGTCCAATTAAAAATTGTGCCCATCACATAAGGACAGTGATTATTCTATGGCCTTGGTAGCACCTTTATATCTGTTACCTGGCATGGCACCACTCTCCGCTATCGCCTCTCCCTAGGCACTCTGTGCAATGCATCATGAAAAATGGGCTGGTCACACCCCGCAATATCATCACCCTCGTCTAGCACCTAGGCACTCTGTACTATGCATCATGAAAAATGGACTTGTCACATCCGGGACCCGACATAATGATAATTTTCACACTCCATAATGACGGAGTTCACACCTTCTGAGTATATAACAAGTGTATCATACTTTGTTTGATCATCCATCTGATGATCCGTTGCTTGAACGGTGAAACACTGTGTAATGGAATTTGATCTCTGACGGTTTTTCCGCTTGTTTGTAGAAAAAACAAATAATTATTTGGATGATTTCAACTGTTTCATTCATCATCCATTGTGTTCCTTTTGCCCGTAAAAGAGGCTTCGCACTACAGTTTATTTGATAATAACTGAATTGGACAATCATTATAATGGAATACCGGTAGCCACAGAGCCGTCATCCCTGAATACGAGTCACTTACACTTGGGAAGCTTCACTCACTGATATGCCTCTTGCAGTATGCATGCACGAGGTGTAAGACATAGGTGTGAACCACAGGTGTTAGGAAGGTGAAAATTACTGAATGAGACACAAAGGCACACAATGAAAACCTTGGCAAATTTATTCCGTTGTGACTCCGAGTTTCATGGCTGAACCAATCATCAGACAACGATAATGGAATAGGAGGCAGCGCTGGTATATCTAAGTGGGGAGAGGTGTGATAATAATAGCGAGAGGAGTAATATGCCTCTTGCACTATGCATGCACGAGGTGTAAGACATAGGTGTGAAAGTAACGTAATGAGACAATATGCCTCTTGCAGTATGCATGCACGAGGTGTAAGACATAGGTGTGAACTACAGGTGTTAGGAAGGTGAAAATTACTCAATGAGACAATATGCTTTGGTTCCGGCGGTGAAGATCTCACCTACACCTTTGAAGCTCAACTCGCTGTATCTGTCATTCTTGTGGCGCCAGATGATGCTGTGTTTGGCGGTAGGATTTGTTCTTACAATAGGTTTTGGTGCTGGCGTTAAATGTCTCACTTACACCTCTGCCACTGATTCTACTTCTCTTTATGCGCGGCATTATTCTGTTTTGGCGGTAGGACTTTGGCATGAAACTGCTTCTTTCGACCTGCATGGCATCATTGTTCCATTTCGTACCTGACGATGGCAAATTTGCCGAAACATTGTACATAAAAGGAATCGGTTGGGTTTCGCAGTGCTGTGGGAATGGGTGTGTCCGCCCTACTTCTTTTTACTTCTAGGGCAAGATATCGATTCACTCGTGAATCTCGAGTGTACTAGCTGCCCAGACCAAGAGAAATTGTTGGGGCCGCTTGGGCTACTTTTGCAGTCCTTGCTGATTTGTTCAATGTTGTTGACAGTAATGAGACGTAAAACAAAAACAAACAAACCTGCAAGTATAATTTGTTCTATGAGCAACGAGACTGGTTATAAAATGACCTGCAGCTATAGGCAGAGAAAAGACTTTTAAGTTCATGGCTAACGCCAACTCAGTAAAAATGGACAACGATCATCATCATTCTTATGAATGTGTTCGTGTGGATTAAATGTTTCTACAGGTAAAGTAACCACCTTACTGCTGGATTTCACACCTGTATGTGAAGCGCATGTCCATACAGTAAATTTGAGTACGAGACTGATGTTTGCACAAACTGCATGTATGACGTTTGTCTTCTTTATGGGTTTGGGAAAGAATTCACCCAGTTGAATATTCCCCAAAATGTCTTTTTTTCTTGTGTGTAAACCTTCTGGCTCTTGCCCATTTCTTGGTCTGTAGAAATACGATTCACATACCGTGCTCCTCTATGAACAAATCAATGCGTGCCGCGTTCATGAGCATGTAGAGCTGACAACCGGCGGAACGACGCACCACATACCTTGCACTTGTGATGCCTCTCCCCAGTATGAATACCTGTACGTTCATGTCTACGAAGATGTGACGATTGCTTGAACGATGCTTCACATTTCTCGCACTTGTAGGGCCTTTTTCCAGTGTGAACACGTTCATGGTTACTTAGATATGATGATCTCGTGAATGATGCTTGACAAACCTTGCACGCGAAAGGCTTCTCACCGGTGTGAATACGTTTGTGAACTTTTAGATCGCTTGACTGAGAGAAGTGTTTGCTGCATACATCACACTTGAATGGTCGCTCTCCAGTATGAACACGGTCATGACGACGAAGATCAAATGCTCTCTTGAACTGTTTGGGACACTTTTGACACTTTTGTAGCGTTTTACTCATAGAACGTTTTCCTTGATCTAGAACCGTAGCGGTACACTGAGACCCAACTGACTGATGTCTGATATCATGTCCGCGAACTCCTTGTATGTCGATTGAATCTCCTTCTTCGGTTGTCTCCTGTTTCCACGGTTCAGAAAGTCTATTACCGTGTTCAAACGGATAACTGGAGGAAGATGTATTCGCCGTAGATCTCAGCTCTAGTTGCACAGGCTGTTCCGGGTCGACATTACCACTGTATTTTGACGGCGAGTTGTCTCCGTGTCCCAATTCAAAAGATTTTCCAGGCGAAGCGTGCTTCTTTTCATCGTGCCAGACTTGTCCACGTTTATTTAGGGATGATACACAACATGCATCATGATCTAAAGAACTTGCTGAACTACATTCTTTCTTCGTTGATCTTGTCAAAGGCGGTGCAGGCGGTGCCCCGGAATTATCTTCTTTGTGGAGAGAGATTTTGTCCTCTGGATCTAGGTCGGGCAATACCTCTGCTGCGGCATTCTGCATAGGTTGATCAATGCCTGTGATAGGCGAGTCAGAAGATGTCTGAGCAGATAGTGTACCATACTCGTAGGAATCCCCAGATATATTCCTTCTTATCCTGATTAATGGCGGCATTGGTGGCAGCTCATTAGAATCCACACTGCAGTCAGACATCGACTCCTCAAAGTCTTCCATTTCTCACTCAAACACTGCAGTGCAGTAAGGGATGAACTATAAGTTTCTAGCGGAACAAAAACACCAACCAAACTAGAGTACAAGACAGATTCAGCACTTTAGGGAAATTAATTATCTTGATGGTTGCGCATGATACTTCAATGGTAAGTCAGTAGCAGCCCACGTGACAAATTGTGCGAACTTTTCTCACTGTAGTGCGTGGAGGTGTTATTATCCTAATCGTGTACTTGATTTGTCGGTACCACTAAACGATGTGTTACACGTTAAAGATGTCCTTCTGGTGCAGGCGCTGATGACCTTACAAAACCAGCGATCCATCATTACATATCCATAGAGCTAGGGCGCCGTGACTATGATCGCGAACTCCTGACACAGGGTAACCCATGCCTACTTCGCACAAAGTGATTATAGTTGAGTAATACATTACCTGGGTTTACACTTCCCCTTATCACCCTCAGAATTTTCTTTGGACAGATAAGGAGCGACAATTCTAAGGCCGTATAAGCAATCAAACTCACTACATTCACACAGTGCGTTCCGAATTGCGTGTCGAACCCTACGTGTGAGCTAGCCAGCTCCTACCTTTGCAGCGAAACCCGACTCGAGGTGCATCGCGGAAGTGCATTAACCACTTTTTCACACGTTTTTTCCCCAATGGAGTCTCGCGATTTAGACGAGTTGTGGGCAACGTTATGAACGGCCAACGGCCCTCGCCTTTTTTCAGCATCTCCATGAGCTACAATGGCTCACACTGGCGTCGGGAGTTCGCTAGGTGTTTTCCCGCTGGAAACGCTGGAGTGTCACACTAGGCATCGAATAGCTCTGCATAATGCAGTGCTCTCTGAGCATAACTTTTATTAGCCTGAAAAAGCTGATGATTTGTGCACTCTTTCGAAATACTGTGCATTGAGCAGTGAATGGTGTTTTCTTTCAGGTTTGTAGACTGGAAGGTTTGATCGACTTCTCGAGTGCTAAAGATCACAGTCGTGAGTCAGTCCAGTAATATTCAAGTCGGCAGGATATGTGCAAACCCTCTCGCAGGGAGCGATACAAAGTTCCAAAAATGTAGCTGAAGTCGAACAAGTGAGAATTACTTCAAGGTTTTCTTTTAGATTTGCGATTTTAACCACTTTGCGCTAGTGCGCTACAGCCTGGAGGACAAAACTAGCTTTCCTTGATGCTGCAATACAATCCCGGCTGACTCAGCTTTGTTACTTGAACAGCAGACCTCAGGTTGCCTGCTTCCTACATGTACTTACAGACACAGTCATAAACATGTAGTTCAAGTCTGTCATACGCTTGCCCTAGTCCATTTTGTAATGCACTAAAAACATTATGATCCTAGTTTTGACGGTATCATGTTGTATTTCAAGTCCTTGCCTATACTCTGTTATATGTAAACCTCCTTGCTAGATATGCCCCGCGGTTAGTAGTATGAATATTCTCATTGCTGTATCATACATTAGACCGTTGTTAGAGCGTGGATAAAAACTGAAAGGCATAATTTATTTTGGTGATTTGCACCAACACCCGCTGGTCATCCGCATTGCGCAGGGCCGTAGTGTCTCATGTATAATTATTATGTTAGGCGTCTGTGCATTGCCCTAGATTTATATGTTTCCCAATTTTCATTATGGCCTGATTCATCCATAGAAGGATGTGTGCTTATTCATAATCACCCTCTCCTGGTGGCGTTGCAGCAGGATTCATCCTTCGTGTTTGTTATACTGTAAATTGTAGTCGTTTAAATATCTTAAATTTCGTAAAACGTTCGCAAGTAACGAGACTAAAACGTTTGCTAAAGTTTGTCACACGTGCATTTGTCACACACAGTAGTGTAAGCGAGTACCTGGCAACCACAGAATAAAGCCAAGCATCAATTTATCGTTTCCGGTTGAATGAGTGATGTTTCTCGAACAGGATGGAACGTTAGCACATTGTTTTCTAGACTAACACGATAATTACACATGATTTTATACTGGGGAGAGAATACATATTGTAGCAGAAAGTTTTCTAAAACGACCCGGCAACTTATAAACCAATGCAAATTTCACTGCAAGGTTCAAACTAGTAAGTTTTCATAATATTATCCTAAACATATTCGCAGAAAAGAAAAAGGACATGGAAACGAGTTGAGAGTAACTCTCCACCACTGTGACTAGATACTATATACAGTTGGAAAGTGCAACAACTGTATATAGTATCTAGTTACAGGGGTGGAGAGTTACTCTCAACTCGTTTCCATGTCCTTTTTCTTTTTGACAAATAGTTTATTATTATTATTATTAAAAGCATGTCCGCGTAGGTGGCGGGGGTGCGACTTTCGCTTATGCCATTCAGGATTGATTTCTGAAGAGTAATACGATACAATGAAATGACAGAAGTGACGTCAACATAAGCCGTTAGCAACAACACCAATATGACTAATGGAAAACTTCATCTAAAGTATAAAATAAAATAGAATATGCATACAACATGCATATTCTACTACATTTATTATTGGCCCAATACCCGCTCAATACCCGAGTTTCGAATTGCACACTTAACATATTCAATGAAATTTATTCCCGTAGCTATGCAGAAGACGTTACTTCAGTAACGTCTGGCGCTAGCCAGGGTCCACACAGCTTTAATTTGGTGTTTGTTTGTTTGTTTGTTTGTTTGTTTGTGTCACGCCTGGCGCTATCCCGTATCTGTCCCGTACTGTACCGTACCAGCAAAGACAGCTGGCCACAATATTTTTGTTTGTTTGTGCCATCGACATGCCTGGCGCTATCCCGTACCTGTCCCGTACCATCAAGAGTACGGTACCCTCAAGAGAACGAGTATATAATTATGCGAAGTGTATCGGGGGAATGCATTCAGTGCAGTAACATTTTGTGTGGATTTGGGTGCGAGGCCGAGATCCCACTAGCAGGCTGGCTCGCTCCTCCTCCGTCTCCGCAGCCTACACCCGCCATGAGAAGGCAAAGAAGCGTTGGTACGAACAGCGCTTGCGTGATGTAGAGCATGCCTCGTTTGTCCCGGCCGTGTTCTCTACGACTGGCGGCATGAGCAAGTGTGCGTCAGCTATGTACAAGAGAATTGCTGTCTTGCTTGCAGAGAAGACCGGTGAGTCCTACTCCCTCACCATGGCGTTCATCCGGTGTCGTCTTAGCGTAGCGCTAATACGGGCCAGTGTAATGTGTGTGCGTGGTAGCCGATCCATGTTTTCTGCCCATGCTCCTGTCGCGTCATCTGGAGCTGTGGTCACTGCGGAGGCATCCATTATGGCTGACTGAATATTGTCATATAGACTGTTTTCACAGCCACACTAGCTCATTTTTACTACTTGGCCCAACTTCTGCGAAAACCAGGCTTAGGGTGAAAATCATTTTTTTGAGAAAAATGATGTTTTGTAAAAAGGTTGTGTCGCGTCGACGCTCGAGTGCAGTGAAGTGGAACCAAAGAGAATCTCGCTTGTTTGAAGAAGTAGCACGGTCATGGCAGGAAGGGTTTCAGCAGTCAGGGAAGTCAAAGGGCTTCCGCAAGCCTTCCGGTAGAATATTCCCTGCTACTCCTCTAGTCACAACGAAGAGTTTTTGAGCTGATCGAACGGATTCCATCTCCTTCACTCAGGAATGGCGAAATTTCTGCGCTAGCTGCTGCTTGCGGAAAATGGTGAAGAAATCGTCTCCAGTTAGAGTCGTGATTGCGATAGCGAGGAGAACCTGGACGACATCGATCCAGCCAATCGAAGTATGGAGATACTAGCTGTTTCTTGGCCTCACGCAAAGGGAACACGCGCAGCAGAGCTCATACGTTTGCATCAAATTCACGAGGAAAAAGGCTTGAAGCGCAGTGTGAAAACGGTTTTGAATTGAAGTCCTTGGCGATGAAGTGCTCACTGAATGCCAGGCGAATGAGCGAGCAGATCGAGAGGCCTCCACTCGAGACTTTCCTCGCTGGACAGCTAGCTGCCAGGGATTGTACGGCGTGCCGAGATAATCGCGAGATTTCACTTGCTGGTAAGCACCAAGCAGACACTGCAGCACGCCAGCACACTATGCGCATACTATGAACAGTGGAACAGTTTGAAAGGCCGGGTTCTTTCTGGTTTCTGAACAGTTGTACCCTTCAAAAGGTGCCATCTCGAATGGAGTCGGGTTTCCTTGTGGTGTGTAGCGCCAGAGCATGCCAGTACATGTATTCAGCCCCAGAATGTGCTGAGTGAGGAGCAAACAAAACATGCAGAACTGTGCATGGCAGCTACAGCCTGCAGCACCAAGAGGCCACAACAGGCCTGCCCCCACATGCCTACATTGTCATGTCACCTAAACAAAAATCATCCATGTCTCTTCCTTCACTCTGGTGGATCTCTCTTCATTTCTTTCCTGTGATAACAATTTTGTGTTTTTTTTGGATTTTTTAACACAATACCCTAATGTGTTTGAGATACTTTTAATACCACTATGAGTCGACACACACCTGTAATATTTTGTTTCCTGACCTCCCATGCCCAGTAGAAGCTGAAAATGGGAAAAAGTCATTTTGTGAAATTTCACCCTAAGCCTGGTTTTCGCAGATTCTGGGCCACTTATTATTTGCCATGGCGACCCCCGTAAGTCCAAATAGCTGGCCAGGCAGGGTTGGGCCTTTTTTTCTTTTTCTTTCAAATTTCGTTGTATCAGTCACCGACAACTTGCAGGCTGGCAGGGCCGCCTGTCGACCAGCCCGGGAATCGCGTGTAGGCCGATAGCATAATAATTATAACGTACATACAGCCATGTAGATGTATGGCAGGAAGTCATATTATGTAAACGACTCCCTGCTATATGGGGAGATTTTCTGGAAAGAAATACGAAGTAGGGAGACGAGTAAATGCAATCAGAATGGATGTTAGTTGCCGTCAGTATAATAATAATAAGAAGAAGAACGCCCGTGATCGGCAGAGTCAGCGCCGGTCCCAGGAAACGTCACTACAGACATCCCGTCGACTCCAAAACGCCCGTGATCGGCAGAGTCAGCGCCGGTCCCATAGCTATGCAGAAGACGTTACTTTAGTATCTCATTGAAACGTTTTTGCAATACAATTATGTAGCTAATCAAA